TGGATGGTTAGATGGGTGGGGTGGATGGTGGATGGTGGGTGGACGGGTGGAGGGGTGGGGGGGTGGAGCTGGGCTCAGGGTCAGGACAGTTTGTTCCCCCAGACGAGATAATTCAGGGGAATCTTGATTGGAATCCACCCCCACGGGCCTGGGAGTTTCCGGCTGATGGAGTCCCTCCCCCCCCCCCCCCCCCCTGGAGCGCGCAGTAGGTCCCCATAGAGCCAAGCGCAGGCTGAAGTCATGGAAGCCCTGCCTGGCAGCCCCTTCCCACCTGGGGGAGGGGGTCACTCAGAGGTTGGGCAGCCATTGCACCCTCGGGCTCTCCCCTGGTGCAGCCTCCTGACACCCTTGCATCCTGGGAGGGCCCTTCATACAGTCCAGGCAGGACCCAGTGAGCCTGAGGCTGGAAGATTCCCCGTCCCAGAGTGAGGGCCGAAGGCGCAGTTCTCCCTGCCCCACCCCTCCTGTGGGGGGCAGTCTCGGCTGCAGGGGTGGGGTGGACGGGGGCAGTAAACGCACAAACTGCTGCCAGGAAGAGGCGACGCTTTATTGCACCTGAGCCCAGCTGGGTGCTGAGGCAGGGCCCTCAGAGCAGGGGCAGGAAAGGGACAGAGGGGCAGGGCTGACCATCGGGGCCTGGGCACCGTTTTCTCTGTGATGGACGCTGCCTGCTGGCCCCTCCCCACGAACATCAGATGCACCGTGACTCCCCCAGCCCCTCCTGGGGCAGGGCCGGGTGTGGGGGCTACCGCCAGCCCCCCCGCCCCTTCTGCTTCTGTTTCTGGGTCTCCTCGGGCCTGGGTTTGTCTATCCTTCAACCTCGGGGGCCCCAGAGGATGAGTGGGCCTGGGCGGTTGGGGGACAGGAGGCTTCTGGGAAGTCAGGGGGGAGTTTAGGGGACCCCAAGGGTGCTGAAGACAGGAGGCACCCCGGCCGCACCCCCTCTCTGGGGTCCTCATGGGGCGCCGAGGCCTGGAGGCGGCAGCTCCTTGTGGCTGTAATACTCCACCACCTGCTTGGGCACCTCAGCCAGCACACACTTGGCCAGCGCCGCGGGGGACGCCTGCGGGTGGGGACACCTGCTTTCAGGGGCTTCCCGGTCCTCGGTCCCCAGCCTCACCCTCCTGAGCCCTGCCTGCCACCTGGTGTGGGAGCCGCTGAGGGGACCACAGTCAGGATCCACGTGGTGGCAGGTGAGCCTCCGATAAGCAGGTAGACCCTGAAAGAGGAGGCTGTGGTGCCCGACACCTCAAGTGGCAGCTGATGGGCTCGGGGCACCTGCCCCGAGTGGCATATACGGTCACATGACCCCTCCCCTGGGTCAGTGGGCTCCAGCTCGCCAGCCACCGAGAGGAGAGAAGGTGGCCCAGGCAGACAGGCAGGCAGGCAGTGCAGCCTCACA